GTAAGGGATAATTTGATTATTTTTATGCAGGAACAAAGTATAACATGTCGAGGAGGTCTCGCGTGGTGGAAGGAATTCATCATTGTACCTTGTTTTAATATTCATTCCAGTTCTGACGAGGTAAAAAMGCTTACGTTTTCGTATGAAAATAATAGAAATAACAACRAAATTATCGAATTAATGCGTAATAAGCACAAAAACATTACCTACAATCTTCGATATTAATTGATTATTTCTGGTCTTTCCAGGTTCGTTTCTATCCTCGCCATTCAAATCTGGATAATGCATTTGCGGTGGCAGTTAAACTTCCAGCGCCGGCATTCCTTGTCAACGTATTCAGAGATTTACTGCTTGTGTATTGTTCTGATTGTCGAGTCGTGTTTTATTCAATGGAAGCGAGTATAGCTAACAGTAGTTCAGGTTTGTGGCTGTTACTTATCTAACAGGGGTAGATTTACTAGGGGAGGGGGGGAGGGGGTCAGGGGAATTTGCGCATAAGCTACTTAATCGCAAGATTTCATGTTTATTGAGAAAAACGGAAAGTTGTCATTTTCGTCGTGTAGAAACGCGTACTGCTTAGATTTGCACAAACATTCTGAATGTTTTTGAAGTTTTTTTGTATATGACACCATCTCCTAATGGTACATATCACACTGCCCCCCACCCCCACCGAAAATATCCTGCATTAACCCAGTTATACTCTGTGTTTTATTTGATTTAGTTCATCTTGTTTTACTTTATTAGATGCAACTATTTTGGTTGATCGACTTCAGGAATTCTCATTGGCTAATCACGTACCCCACCCATTGGCTGTTATTCACGTGACTTTGACGTCACGCTATTCAGGTTTGTGTAAGATGTTTTCTTTCACGTTTGTCGTTTGCGGCTCGTCGGTCCTTTGTGACTTGAAGGTTAAAATTGCTCTGAGTAGCAACACTGTATATGTACATGTATACGTGTAAAACGCCAGAATGAATCGCCATAGTAACATAATCGTAAGCATAACGATAAGCATAACTATTGTCATAAGCTATGAAAACTATAAAAACCTAAGTGATTATCAGTTTTACGAGCGCATACTAAGCGTAGCTTGTCTAGGTAGATTTTTTGCTCATGTCGCGTGAAAACTCGATGTTTTGTTCTTATGTCGCTTGTGCTTATGTTTGTGTCGAATGAAAACCAGCTTTAAAAGTTGAATTTCATTTCTTTAGAATCTGGTAATTTGGATGGTTTGGAAGCTGTAGAATCTCTGATTGCAAACGTCGGTGGTTGGTTATTGATGTTACAAAAGGACAAAGCAAGCCCCGATAAAGACAAGAGATCGAGAAAGGTGAGTCGAAGAATTTCTGTTCAAGTTACTTACTTCCCACCCCCCTTTCCTCTCGCTCCCCCACCCCCGCCCCCTTATTCGCTTGTTGTCGCATGAAAGGTTGTTCAGATCCATCAAAAGACAAAATTGACTAGAGTGGGATAAGCTAAGGCGGTTGATTTTTGTAAGGAATTGAAAACTTGGTATAATACATACCTTTTGGGTGCCTTGTGAAAAATGCCTATTCCAATCTTTCCTTTACCAGGCATCTTTCTGTTTACCCGTTATACTCGCCTCATGTGTGGAAAATATATGGACGTCGTCTACATCGAGTTTGGATAAAAGACATCTCATGGAGGCGCTGTGGCTTGGCTGTGGTGCACAGGGAATGAAAGTAAATCTTAACTGCTGTTTGTTGTTGTNAGCTGGAATTCAAGGCATTTTTCGATGAGCTGGCGTAGAGCGAAGCACTGGTCAGGACAGGATCTTCCTTTCCGAAAACCAGCCTGGTTTTCTCTAAGACGTTCATCCATTGCGTCCCTTATTCTCAGTAGAATCAAGATGCAGAATACCTTCCCAGCTATGCTCAGAAGTGTGATACCGCGGTTATTGCCACAGATCGTGATGTCGCCTTTTTTAGGGATTTTGACAATGGTCCCTTTCTTCCAGTCTTTTGGAGCCTTTTCAGTTGACCAAACGACGATACATATTCGTAGCAACCAGTCAATCAACTTGTCTCCTCCAGCTTTAAGCATTTCTCCTGTGATCTTATCACATCCTGCCGCTTTGTTGTTTTTAAGCCTTTTAATCCTTTTTTTGTTTTTAAGCCTTTTTTAATCCTTTTAAATTTCTTTATTTAAAAACGTTTTGAAACATCGCGAGTTTTATTGTTAACATCCAAATGGCTTCTTTCAATAATGTTAGCCAATCACACTTCAGCTGTGATTGGAAGATGTCACTCGTCAACCAATTAAAACAGCACGGATGACTATGACTTACATGCTTATGAAAGGTTTCCAAAACATTAAAAAAAAACCTGGTGGCAAAATATTTCTGCTTATCCTGAGTTTGCGAGTTTAAAACGGTGATAAAGTTGTTAAATAATGTTTTCCATTAATATGAACAAACTATTTAGAAAATGTTGATATTGTTCCAGTTGGTTTAACTGCAATTTTCTCTCCCGTCCTTWTACCGAGCTGTTTTCGAAACTCTCCCTTGACCAAACCGAATCAGTTCCGAACGCGCTCAATTTGAGGAAGGATTCTCAAAAAGAGTTCGGAGCTTTAAAACGAAAACTGCAGAAATATAATTATATTTTGATTGTAGACCCAAGTTTACCTGCACCACGTTTTAAGACAACTTTTACGTAAAAAGTAAGTTGTTTGTTATAAAAACAAAGCTTTGATCTCATTTCGACCACAATAGTCTACTCAGTGCCTTTTACAAAAAGAAATACTGAATTCTTTTTTAGTCTTGGCCAGCAAGCTCTGAAAATCGCTAATACTTGCACGGATTTGCCTTACTTCCCACACGTACTGGAACTGATGTTGCATGAAGTTCTTGAGGAAGAGGCCACTGCCTCAGAACCCATTCCTGGTAAGTCCTGCAAACTAGTAATTTGTCTCTTATTTGAGCGCACGTTGCTTCAATGAAAGACTGAAAAACCTCCTCATCAACTCCTTTATTAGAATGTAGCACAACAAAAACGCTTCTGCAATTCACTGTGAAATGAAGAAGTTTACTTCATGAAACACTTAGCTCAACAGATAAATTTCGAGATAACCCCTTTAACACCATCAAATTTTCCGGCAATTTGTTTTGTGAAAATTGCAAAGTGGGACGCACAACAACAACAACAGTAGCTTTAACATCGGCAGCAACAAAAACACTGAGCACTAATAACTGCAACAACAACAGAAACAACAAGATTGACAAACTGTTTCACAACAACGCCTTTTCGAGACAAATGCTGAGAAAACTGCAGTATAACATCAACTTAGGTTATTTTGAACTCTCTAGACGCAATGCTGCCAAGAGTTGTAGAATTCATCCAAGAGTTCCCACAATATCTAGAAACAGTCGTGCACTGTGCACGCAAGACAGAGGTAGCGTTGTGGAGTTACTTGTTTTCAGCTGTTGGAAATCCAAGGGATTTATTTAAGGTAAAAATAATAATTCCAATAGCTAAACACTTGGATCCATGCACCACACTTATTTCATTTAGGCCCGGTTCAGACACCGATCTTTTGCCGCGTCACAAGCAGTTTCCAGACTAAATCAGTTGACATTTACGCATTATACTGTGTCCGAACAGCTAATGATATTCCATCAATGTCA